CTAAGACCGTGTCTAATTCAAATTTTGAATTTGGTCACGGTTCTAGTCACGGGTAAAACCGTGACTAGACCGGCGGCCCTGACACCTCTCCGGTTGCAAGACTGACAGGTTAGTCACGGAATTATCCGTGACCTAAGACCATGACAACTTGAAATTTTTTAGTATAAATCATCTTTCTCCGGCCCAAGACTGGACTGTAAAAAAATGGCTAATAGAGGTCCAATTGACTGGGATTCGATGTGTAGAGGTATGAAACGACTTAAGCTGATTACACAGCTTATGGAGCCGAAAACCGTGGAAGCATACGAGAGAATCAAGGAGTTGATGTCTAGACCCCTTGAAAGTTTTGGCGATTATAAAGATGAAGAATCCGACTCATTGGGCAAGTCAAAAGCAAGAAATTTGTGTCGGATGCTTCAACGTGCACAAGAAGTTTCGGAGTATATGGACCCGATCAACGAAGAAGCTCGAATGAAAATTCAGGAGTTGTGGGCTAGGCCTCTTGAAAGTTTCTGATTGAGGAATGAATAATGTTAGTTAGGTTAATGTGATAAATAAATCTATGTTAGTTGTTTGATAAATAATATGTGACAATTTCATTGTGTGTTTTGTATTTATCTTTGAAATTTGATAAATAAATCTGTGTTAGTTGTTTATTAATATCTAAATTTATTATAATATTCAGATTAGTAAAAGTAAATTACTTTTTTTTTTTAATTTTCGAATTTTGTTAATTTTCGTATAGACTTAGAATTATTAAAATTAATTTTCGAATTTCGAATTATTAAAAATTATTAAAATAAATTTTCGAATTTAGAAAAATTAAAAATAATTTTTGAATTTTCATGGATATAATATAGAGTAATTTCATATTTTGTATTGGGTAAATTTTAATTTTCAAACTTGGAATTGTGAAAAATTTTATTTTGAATTTATAATATGGATATAAAAAACTTGTTGTGGTTGAATTAATATGGAGTAATTTTTTGTTCATAAATAATAATGATAAAGATAGAAAAAAATTCAAATATTGTTGGAGTGATAAGTCCATTTTTGTACTTATTTTTCTTATCAAAATTAAGCGATTTTTGAATGAAAATAGAAAGAAAAGACACATTTTATATATTTTGGTTCATGTTTCATGAAATCAGGTAAAAATCACATCCATATTATGTTTAGCGGGATTTCGGGTCAATTGAGCACAAAATGAGCCAATTTGGGCAACAAATGATATCATACCGAAAGAAGGAAACATTATTTCAAAGTAGTCCAGAAGACAATATTGAAGAGACACCAGAGGCACCTGATCCTGAAATACTTGTTGATTATACTAATGAGAGTGATGCAGGATATGTGCTAATTCCTTGTTCGAACGATGTGTTCTTTGAAGATTATATCACATTTTGGTGGTCACAAGAGTTCAAGGGTCTACGCCATCTGACGGCATACCTGGAGGATAAGGTGGAGGCACTAATGATGAGTGCTCCACAACTGACATGCATAGCTGAGAGTTCTCTCTCAAACGTCAAGCTAGTGACGTTAAAGAAGCGCTTCTTGGGAGGCAACCCATGTTTTTCATAACATTGTTTGTTTGTTTTGTGTGTTTGCAGGGTGTGCTTCAATGTTGATGAGATAAGAGATTGGCTTAGGCCTTACGGGAGGACACGAGTGATGCTTAGTTTTCTTCCTTAACATTTTATTGTGTTTGTTTGTTTATTCAGGTTGGACATTGTGCTGCTCTTTTGACTTAAATGCTCTTACAAACTGACTATGAATGATGTAAAGATTTTTTTATTCCTGTTTCATTATTCCTCTTCACAAAATCTTTTCAAAACTCAAGTGTGAGGAAAGAACCAAAAAAAAAAATGTGTCTTTATTTCAAGGTTTTGTGCCTTAAAAAAAAAAGACCTCGAGGGCGAGGTCTAGCTCAAGTGTGAGGAGGTTGTGTTTTACACTCAAAAGTTAAAAACTTATTTTAGAATAATCTTTTTACTATTTTTGACATGAAACATTAATTTCTCAATTTGTTACCAATCGCATAAATAGCTTAGATAATCCCTCCTATTATAAGAATTTACTTTTATTATTATTTTTAGAAAACTTGAATTTGTTATGGGTTTTTGGTTGTGAATGTAAAGGGCTGAATTTGTTTTAATTGGACATTCATTTTAGTCATTAAAACAAAAATGTTAGTATTAATAAAACTCCAAAACTCATTGTTATAGGACAATTCTATCTCCAAAAAGGGGCTCTGCTTCATTCGTTAATCATAGTCTATGAGAATGAAGTATGCATGGGATAACACCGCCAACAAAAGTGGAAAGGAGACACACAAAAAAAAAAACTGGTGAACAAGATGTATGTCCAATTTAGAATAATGAAAACCTTGGGATAAGGAATTGATTGGTGGTTTAACATAATCCATAGTTTTTTCAAAAGTAATACTAATTTTAAATTCTTATATTCTGGGTGATTTTTTCTAAAATATTTAAAAATTGAGAATAAAAGAGAGATTTTGTTTCTCCTTCTTTAATAGCAATTCGATTGTGATAAAGTCAAGTTTTACATCTTTTGAGTGTGGTTGCAACTAATTTGTCGCTTGAGGACAAGCGACGCTTAAGTGTGAGGAGATTGATAAGTCCATTTTTGTACTTATTTTTCTTATCAAAATTAAGCGATTTTTGAATGAAAATAGAAAGAAAAGACACATTTTATATATTTTGGTTCAAGTTTCATGAAATCAGGTAAAAATCACATCCATATTATGTTTAGCGGGATTTCGGGTCAATTGAGCACAAAATGAGCCAATTTGGGCAACAAATGATATCATACCGAAAGAAGGAAACATTATTTCAAAGTAGTCCAGAAGACAATATTGAAGAGCGCGAAACAAGGAACAAGCCGGACAAATAATCTCACAGGCGGCCGAACAGGCGGCCAAAATGGAGGCCTTCGCGGCCGCCTACGGTTTTTTTGGAAAGTCAAACTTTGACTTTGACCGAATTTGGAAAAGACCGTAGGCCGCCGACACTGGACAGAAGGCGGCCGCCTACGGTGACCGCCTGCGGCAGAAGACGACGAAGCAACCGCCGGCCGGTGGGATTTGACGGCAGGCGGCCAGACAGGAACGGCAGGCGGCCGCCTGCTGGACCGCCTGCGGCGGCCGGGATCCGTCGGGATCCGCCGCGATCCGATTTGCCAACGAAAAGACGGTAGGCGGCCAGTTTTGATGGAAGGCGGCCGCCCTCTGTGGCCGCCTACGGCTGACGGAGACCGGCCACGACGTGTTGCCGGCGACTTGACGGCAGGCGGCCAGATGCTGCCGGAAGGCGGCCGCCTGCTTGGGCGCCTTCGGTGAAATTTCTGCTATAAATAGCAGGCTTTTTCCCCATCTCAAACATACCAATTTCAAGCCCAAATCAGATCAAAAAGGGCGTCTTCTTCCTCCTCAAGGCTCGGATTTCCACCATTGTTGCACCTTCAACTTCAATCTTTCATATCTTTCTCATTTTAGCTCCAAATTGTGAGTTCTTTATATGTATTTTCATCCTTTCAATGAGTAGAATCTGAATCTGTACTTAGTTTTTTCTATCTGTGCTTCGAAAATTTCCAGAAAATTATTCCACTATTTCGCATTTTCTTCTTAGATTTGAATAAAATAGTTGTTGAGATTAAATCCATTCCAATTAATTATATAGTTGTTTACTAGACTCAAGGTAGTTATTTATCAAAAGAAAGTTAATTTTTACGAAGTAGAAGTAAATTTTAATTAATTCCGGCATTTAGTTGTTATTATTGCATAAATTAAATTAAATACTCAAAAAAGGGCAAAAAATTAGTTTCTGTCCTAATTCCAGTTTAATTCACAGTAATATCACTCCCAGTAGTCAATATAAAATTTAGAACGAATTTAGAATAATTTTAGTTGCTTTTTGCATTTTCTAGTTAAAATTGGGAAAATTATCAATTAGTTGTTAAAATTGGATTTTAGGTTTAAAAATTCGTGAAAAATTCTAGAAAGTTATACTTCAGTTTCTACAAGTTTATTGTTCTAGAATATAAGTTTTGCTATCATCCATGTTTAATTCCTTGTTAATGTTGAATATATTCATTATATTGTTAGTTGTTAAAATGATCTTTATTAGCTAAATTTGTTTTGGGCATGAATTGACTAAAGGAATATGGATTGACTTGTTGACCAAAAAAATTAGGGATTAAAATTAATAATAGGGACTAGTTGTTTGAAATGATGAAATAGTAATTAATAATTGTTAGCCATATTCATTAATTAAATTCTTGGAAAATTATCTCTAACTTGTCTATGAGATTAGAAAATAATTTAAGCCAACCATATTCGAGCACATTAATAAGGCCTAGAAATAGGATAATTTAATGAAAGGGATTTACATCTTGTCTATGAGAGATAAATTCAATTGCTTAAATAATGAGTTTAACTAGTTAATGAATTTGGCTATTTTTATTAATTAAAATATTGGAGAATTATTTCTACCTTGTCTATGAGGTTAGAATTTAATTCAAGCCAACCATTTTTGAACACATTAATGACACCTAGAAATAGGATAAATTAATGAAAATAGTTTCTATTCTTGTCTATGAGGAAAGAAATTATTAGTCCAATTTTAGTTTTAATTTCCCTAATTATTAGGTCCAAGAATATATCCATTTCTAATTACTCAATTCATTGCCCTTATTTGCATCAATCCATTTAAGTTTAATATTATATCTTTTCCTTTAGTCTATTTTTGAGCCATCATTAGTATTTGCACAATTTAGTTTACTTTCTTTTCCAAAAAGTAGTTTAGAAAATCAATCAAAAGTTTTAATTTAGAAAGCTTCCAATAATTTGCGATAACCTGTGACTGGACTTGAAATCAAGAAGCTCCTCCGCCATTCCTCGAGAGACACGATACTCGGGGAAAAACCGAAAGGTTAGACTCCGTTTTACTACAACGCCGCGAAAGCGGTTATCATGGAGTAATATAATAATGAAGAAATCTGCACAAATATTAGAAGTCAATAAAATTGAAATTACAACAGCACAATTATTCGCTATCATAATCGTCATTTTCTACATATACAGTATCTTCTTCTGTATCTGAACCGTCTATCCATTCACCTTCTTCCTAGCGTTTTGTTGTGCTACATACATTTCCTCAATTTCGCGCTCAGATGGAATGGTTGGGTCCGGAAGGTGCGTTTCTGGCATGACTTCAACACGTCCGCCATTTGGATCACTTAATTGGATGTCATAGTTGACCGTCTCAACAATAGGCGGAGGTTGGAAAAATTGTTGCTGAAAAGCATCTAGATCAACGTCCTTGTGTTGAGTTTGTGATTTTATTTTGTTCGGACGGACAGGACATGCACACACCCAAGGATTCTGTGTCCGCCTTGTTGAAGGATATTCTGCATAATAAATCTGCGCTGCTTGTTGGGCGAGTATGAAAGGCTCATTTTTCAGGTACACACGAGAGTGGTTGACGTCAATCATATTATACTTCGGATTTTTGCGCACGCCACGTGTGGGGTCGACCCATGTGCAACGGAACAGAACGCATGTCAATTTGTTCGCACCAGAAGGCATCTCAAGTTCCAGAATCTCCTGCAAGACACCAAAAAAATTGGTTTCTGAGTTATCATAACCGATGGTCGGGACACATAACCCGCTGTTCGTTGTTGGTCGGCCCTCTCCGTAATCGGCTGTGTGATATGTGTAACCGTTTATCACATATTGCCGCCACACTTTGGCATTGGCACTAGGGCCCCACGCTAATGATACTAACAAAGGGTCGACAATCCCACGACTATTGATTTGTAAATATAAACATGATAATAACATTAGGTAAATATTGAAAAATCTTACGTAATAAATATATATATATATATATAATTAATGTGTGTGTATATATATACCTGATACTTGTACCAATTTACAAAATCAGAGTCTACCAATGCATCAATTTGATTCTCAGGAAAGGCTGATAAAGAAGCTCTGAATTCACTGTGAATTCAAAAATAAAAAAATTATAAATTAACTACAAATTTAATTGATAAGTATTACAATTATAACTACAAATTTAACTTACTGATAAAACGGTGAGAATTCTGGACAATTCATGAGGATATAAGTATGTGCAATTTGCAATTCCCCACCCAGGATGTATCGTTGTGTCGCAGCACCTTTACCTCTGCCTGGGTAATTGAAGATGGAAACTACATTTTCATATAAATCCTCGCCAATGTCATCGTTCCGGGCAGGTCTCTTCCTTCTGGTGATGACGTCACGCTCGAAGTAAAAAGACGAGAACGTTGAGATTTCTTGTTGAAGATACGCTTGACAAATTGAAGCCTCAACGTGTGCCTTGTTGGTCACTTTCTTTTTCAGCTCTCCTAGAAATCTGCAATAATGCAATATAACAACGGTACACATGTTAACAGTTGTTGTGAAATAAATATTCTTTTTTTAAATGAAATTGTTACTAACCTTTCAAATCTGTACATCCAGCGATAGAAGACGGGCCCAGCAGTCAAAGCCTCATACGGAAGATGTATTATAAGATGTTCCATTGTATCGAAAAACGATGGAGGCATTATTTTTTCTAGATTACACATCAGAATGGGAACAGACTCTTGTAGTCTCCGGAGGGATGCCGCATCCAAAACGCTGGAACATATCGATTGAAACAACAAACTGATTTCAGTAATGCAGGACCATACGTGTTCAGGAAGCATCTCTTTTAGTGCAATTGGTAGAAGTCTTTGCATTATTACATGAGCATCGTGAGTTTTCATGCTCGTCGTCGTGGTAAGTTTGTTCATGTCTACGCATCTAGACAAGTTGGAGCAGTAGCCATCTGGAAACTTCTGAGACGCAAGCCATTGTAATATTGCTGCCTTTTGTGGTTCTGTGACCTGGTAGACTGCTTTTGGAACTTCCTTGCCCTGATATTCTAGATCAACAGAAAGTTCGGGTCTATCACACCAAATAGTCATATCTTTCCTAGCTGCAAGACCGTCTTTAGTTTTGCCTTTCAAATCCATCACCGTGTTAAATATATTGTCAAAGACGTTCTTCTCAGTGTGCATGACATCTAAATTGTGACGGATGAGAAGGTCTTTCCAATAAGGCAACTCCCAGAATATGCTCCTCTTTGTCCACTTATGGGTATCACAATACCCATATGGCTCTTGGTTTGGCTCTTCCATAGCCGTAGGAAAACGTCGAACCCGGTTATAAATTTCTTCACCGGTCAATCTCGGGGGTGGGCTCTCTCGTACCGCTCTGCCTCTAATGAAAGACTTCTTGTCCTTTCGATATCGGTGCCTTTCCGGGAGAAACTTGCGGTGACAATCAAAGTAACTTCCTTTTTTGCTGTAACTAAGCCAGTTGGCACCTGATTTCTCCATGCATATCGGACATCCCATCAAACCGTGTGTGCTCCATCCCGAAAGCATGCCATAGGCAGGGAAGTCGCTAATGGTCCAAATGATGGCAGCTTTCATGATAAACATTTTATCTGATGAAACATCATAAGTTGGTGTCCCAACGGCCCACAGTTCTTTCATCTCCTCGATAACTGGTTGGAGATAAATGTCCATCTTTCGCCTAGGATCCTTGGAACCCGGACAAATTAAAGACAAAAATATGAAATGACTTTTCATGCACATGTCGGGAGGGAGATTGTAAGGATTTAACATGACCGGCCAACATGAATAGTTCTTGCCAAACCTGCCAAAAGGAGCAAATCCATTTGAGCACAATCCCAGCCGCACATTTCGTGGCTCCATAGCAAACTGAGGATGACAGCGGTCAAAGTGTCTCCAGGCTTCACAGTCCGAAGGGTGAGCCATCATACCCTCGTTGGTTTCGTGCTCAACATGCCATGTCATGTGTTTCGCAGTAGCAGTCGAAGCGTACATCCTCTGCAGTCGAGGAGCTATTGGGAGGTAATACAGTTTAGACAGTGCAGAACTATGTCGTGGTTTCTTTTTACCTTGACGAACAGGTTTGTATCTGTCTCCACCACAGAACTTGCAGAACTCAAGTGCCTCATCCTCCTTCTAGAACAACATACATCCTTCCGGGCACGCATCAATTTCAACACAAGGTAGCCCCAACTTAGACATTAACTGCTTCATGTGGTAATATGAATCCGGAAGGGTATGATCTCGCGGTAGCATCCCTCCTACTGACTGCAAGACTCTATTCATGCAAGTTTCAGGGAGACTGTATTTGGCTTTTATGTTCATGAATTCAGTAACGGCGGATAGCTGAGAGTATTCCTCACAATCAGCATACAGAGGTTGGTCGGCAGCTTTTAGAACATCCTGAAATCTCTCAGCCAAACCTTCATCCACATAAGGTTGATAAAATGTTGGATTTTCATCCGCATCTGGTTGATACGAGGTTGAGGCTTCAGGGGGGTCGTTAGGTGGTTGTGGGGGGTTGAACTGAGACATCGGTACACCGTATGCGTCATATACCATTTGTTGGTCCCACCTCATTTCAGCACGGTCTCCCCATGCACTCATCTCTGGAGGGACGTAACGAGACGAACCTACCGTTTGTGGTATAACAGATGGATCCAAAGGTTCGCCGTGAGAAGTCCAATTATAATAATTGGGAACAAAACCAACCGCGTACAAATCATACCCAACTTCGTGTGGGTCTTTAAATTTGAGATTTTTACACTTTGAACATGGACATCTTATTTTATCACCACTCATATAAGCCGGATGTTCAAGTGCAAATTCAATAAATTCCCCAACTCCCTCGAGAAAATTTGATTGCATTCCGTACAATACCGCATCTTTATCATACATCCAACTTCTATTTTGTTTATACATCATGCCTAAATATTATAATAAAAAAGTATACACGTTCAAAACGAAGGTTATTAATGTAACAATAATACTAACAAATTTTAAGTAAGTTATTTCACTAAATAATCAACTAACTAATTTTCACTAAATTAAATGAAATGCACACAATTCACAACAATAATTCACAAAATATAAGTAATTACCTAATACTTAAATTTAACTAATATTACAAAAAATTTAAGTAATTTATTAACACTACATTTAAATTAAACATACGTTTAACTAAATTTAACTAATTCATTTAGTTAAATTTAACTAAATTTAACTAGTTCATTCCGTCCCCTTTTAAACCTACGTTTAGCTAACTAATATAACATAATTAACACATCACTAGCTACGTTTAAACCTACGTTTAGCTAACGAATTTTAATTAAATTATTTTTGTAAACCTACATTTAAACCTACACTAAATTATTACGTTAATGACATTTAATGTTATTAGTACTACACAATTAACAATTCCAATTCACTAAATTAAATAATATGACCAAATTAAACCCAATAATTTGAACATGTATATAAGGTCATTTGAATTAATAAATAATACACAATTAAAATAACAATTCACAATACACTTAATTAACACATTACTAACGTACGTTTAACTAACTAATTTCACTTAACATAAAGATCACTTCGTTTAAAACTACGTTTAGCTAACTAATTTTAATTAAATTATTTTATAAACCTAACAGTTTAACTAATTTTATGACATTACTACGCTTACAGTTGAATATGTTGTTAATGAATTAACAACATCACTAATTTAATAGTTTTAATAATTTAAATTGAACCAACTAATTCTAAATAAAAATAATAATTCAAATAACATACCTTAACTGCATAAATGGGGAAAATGATAGAAGACAGACTACATCCTTCGATCTTTCAAACAGATACTGTATATACTGGGAATGAATTGGTGTGGTTCTGTTGAATGAATGAGCTGCTCCTGCATATATAAAAAAATTTAGTCACGGACTTAGTCACGGATTTGTCCGTCACTAAGCAAAACCGTGTCCATTACGCGTCCGATCCGTGTTAATGACGTGTTAATCAAAGTAGTCACGGACATAGTCACGGCCATGTCCGTGACTAAATTTATCCGTACATAATACCGTTGCGGATTGATTTATGGGAGATGCAAAATTAATTTTTAAATTTAGTCACGGCTGTAGTCACGGATGTGGCCGTGACTATGTCGCCGGAGTAAAACAAGCCAGGCCGGAAAATCAAACGGGCAATCGGAGGATGTTAGTCACGGACAAAAATCCGTGACTACGTGTAGTCACGGCTGTAGTCACGGTAAAATCCGTGACTAATTTTTTTTTTAAATTTCCGTGACTAGTCCGTGACTAGTCCGTGACTAGGCTAGTCACGGACCAAATCCGTGACTACGGTCCGTGACTAAACGAGTGTTTTTTTGTAGTGAAATGGCGATGCCATAATGTCAATGCCGGAGAAGAAGACAAACGAATAGGATAGTGACTGCCGCTACTCGAAGCCTGGAGAAGGATTGCCCAGTGGTTTTGTTCTTCAGCAAAACAGTTTTTTTTTTCAAAATTACCATACCATTATTGTCGGCACACAATTTTTGTATGAATAAAAAATTATATTTAATTTCAGGGACATGATAAACAGATCTTAAGTGGAGGTCCAGCTCAACACGTAGACGAGTTGGCCATTCTTCCACCCGAAAACACCTCAAATAGACAAGTTCGGTCTATTGCTCCTCGCCAGATCGAACATTTTGAGGCCGCGTGATCTAGATATATAAACTCACACTTGAACCTTATATAATTGTCATCCAACTCAACTTATAAAACAAGTGTTACAAAATGTAGAATACAACATTATAAAAACCTCTATATGTAGATTTCAGTATAGAGCAGTTATGTATCTAGAAACCTGTAGTCATCAATGATCAATCGTTAGACCTATGGTCAATCATCATGTCCGGTGATCGTTGACGCGGAGAAATGGATGGGATTATCAAAAAAACTGGTGCGACGTTGGAAGATTGGTCGGATAAGATTCCTGTTAATGTATTTCGTTCCCTTGAAGAAAGGAAGCACCATCCAGCACATCGCAGCTAACTTTAGGTAGTCCCAAAGCAAAAGCCTGTTAATGATGATATAGATTAGGGAAAAGGTGCAAATAGGCCCATGTACTAACAAAAAAAGGTCAAATAAACCCTTATTTAGGAGACTCTGTCCGGCGGTCATCATTTGGGGTGGTTCCCGATGGAATTTTTTGATGACATTTTTTGATGATCTTATTCATCAAGTCTAGTTTACTCATACCAAATTTCAGCTAAAACTTCAATCGGGAAGGCATTTAAATGAATTCTTGAAGATAATTGCGCTTCTAACTGCGCGGTTATTTTCAAGAATTTGTTTGAATACCTTCCCGATTGAATTTTTAGCTAAAATTTGGTATAAGTAAACTAGACTTAATGAATAAGATGCTCAAAACAATTCATCAAAAAATTCCAACGGGAACCACCCCAAATGGCGACGGCCGGACAGAACCTCCTAAATAAGGGCTTATTTGACCTTTTTTGGTTAGTACATGGGCCTATTTGCACCTTTTCCCTATAGATTATTTTCAATTAAGAAATATTCTCTTAAATAAGGGTAAAAACGTCTTAGAATCCAAGATATGAGCACTATTTCATATATTTTTATTTTCTAAGTAAGAGTAATTATCGTGGATTAATAGTGCCACATGTTTATAGTCGTTAAAACAAGTCACTAATTTCTTGAAATGAAAAGAACATTTTTACACCAATTTAATGCAAATTCTTAATCATTAATTGATCACCCACCATTCAATAGGAAATGTACTCTCAAATGATGTGATGAAAAAACGAAGCATCCAAAATGTCAGCCATTGCTCCAGATCATTCCTAGAACTCGAATCTATTGCCTGTACGGATGAGTACCTATATGTATACACATCATTATGAAACAAATAATAGAGTAATTAATTAGCATGCATACACATAGGGATGAATGCATGTGTTTTGGATTTACCTAATTTCTTTAGCATTAAGTTAAGATACTAGGTTATAGCTAGGAATTTTATATCAGTATAATGTAAGATTGTAAGAATAGAAAATGATCATAATCGCTACACTTACTTCGAAAATGCCATGTACAAAAAGTCAAAATTCACTTTTTTACTTACTACTCCCATTTTACCGCCCATTGATAACATTGAAATTGACTAAGAGCGTGTTTGACATTTAGCGGTTATCGGTTAGCGGATTGCGGGTTATATTAACGGGTTGTCAATAATGGATTCAGTGAGCGGATTTGTCTAGTCAAATAAGTTGAAGAGTTTTCAGAAGATGTTTGGTATATTATAATTTACGGGCCGAGCTTTTGGGCCCGCCCGAGTGCTAATGTTGGACTCGGTGCGGGCCACCCGACCCGGGAACCAGCCCGGCCCGGTAACCGGGTACCGGTTCCGGGTCTAGGCCCAGTTTAAGGATGAAACCGGGGCCAGTTCCGGGTATGCTAAAATGAGAACCGGCCCGGCCCAGTCGGGCCCGGTTCGAGCCTATTTTTTATTTTTTATTTTCTTTTTTTGGTTTGGGCTGGGTTTAAATGGGTTGGGCTGGGTGTTTTCGATGGGTTTGGGGGATGGGGGTAGGGGATGAAATAATCAAGAAAACAAAAAAAAATAGAACCGGACCCGGCCCGGGCCCGGACCGGACCGGCACCGGTCAACTTCCGGGTCGGTCCCGGGCTTCATGAATTTTTTTTAGCCCAGGCCCGAACCGGCCCGAGTCCAACACTACCTGAGGCTATACTAAAACTCAAGTTCGCCCATATTTTTAAGGCCCCGGCCCGAGCCTGTGGCCTAGGCAACTATATATGTCCAAACTCGTCCATTTGTATGGGCAGGCCGGCCCGATTTGGTGCAGGTCTACTCTACAATAGGAAGTTTGGAACAAGGTACTAAAACTATCTATAGTGACGAAGGAATGAAGTTATTTTTCATTTGATAGAAATTTTCTAGTCTTGTTTGATCTAGTCTTATTTGATCTGGTCTGGTACTGATAACCGTTCAACTAAAAACATCTTGAACCCTTAATTATAACTAACCAACTTTCTCCACTAATTTTGTCACTTTTCTTATTTAATAAAGAGTTTGTGATTTCTATTAATTCTCCATCATTTATAAGCATAAATGATATGCACTAATTGTTAGTGCATAAGTGTATGTTTTTCTGCTTGTTTTGTGATGATTGTTTACCTTTATTGTTAGTTTGTAAACATATGTTTGGATTTGGTTGTATTTGTATTTTAGCATTCTTTTGTGAGTCGTAAAGTAGTGGTAGGATTGGTGGTGTTGGAAAAGTGGATTTGAAGTGAAGAAAACTGTCCAGGTGATTTACCCGGCCAGGTATGGCCTTTACCTGCTCAGGTATGAGTTGAAAATGAAAGCTGCTTCGAAATTGTACACATACCCAGTTACGTATGGCCCTAAACCCGGTCGGGTATGATTTTGACCCAGGCAAATAGACGTGCTGAAAACACAAGAACGTGGAAGAGTGATTCAATTTTGACTGATACCCGGTCAGGCATAACCTATACTCGGTCGGGTACCCGGCCCAAAGTGTTAAAAACACTTATAAATAACACATTTTTCCTTCACTTTTATTCATTCCTTCTTCCATATACTTAAGTTTAACTTAGAATAGTATTTTCTTTATATTTTTCTAGCATTGTTTAGTCTCCAGATGAGGAGCTAAACTCCCATTTCTTGGTTTTGCTCTTGAATCTTGTTGAATGTTTAAGTTGTGAATTATTTTCTTAACTTCTTCTCTTGAATACTAATTCTCCCCTTAATCTTATTTCTATTTAATGTTTGGGTGTTGCCAAGTGATAGAGTATATAGACTCGGACCCTGTGAGTCTCACGACTATTGGACCTGGATAGCGGCCCACACACGCTATCCGGATATCATTTGTATTATTGTACAGTTCATATCATTGAATCTACTAGACTAGCCTTTTACATTTTTGGGCCTATCAGGCCATATTAGTGGTTCGGCCCGCTCTCTGTATATATACTCCTCTTGGGAGACTCGTAACCCTAATTCATAGAATCAATATTTCAATGCAACAACACTATTCATCTTCTTCTCCATCTTGTGCTCAACTCTCTCATTAATTATAGTTTGGATACCCCTATTATCCATCATTAAGTGACGACTAGTTGACGCTTCAACATTAATTATTACCAAAATTGATCAATGAACTGATGGTTAATCATTGATGGTTTCACAAGTAAGTAACTCCGGGTTATTGAGGCACGATCGTGGTTAATAATCTTAAGAGGAATTAATTGTGTTGTATAAACCAAAACCGTTGTGTTGAGATTATCAATCTCAATTGATTTCATCAAGGAGTTAAATTGATTAAATGCCACTATTAAATTAGTATATAACAATGTTCTATATTTGGCTAATAGTAATTCATGTTAATGAACGGTCTCGTTATTAATAACTACTCTCAAGGAATTGGATATACTCCTCGATTGAGTATTCGAGAGGGATAAGTTAAAGATATAACCGAGATCGACTAACATTTCAACAAGTGGAAAGTAGCAAAGTCAAGTTTTTTATCTCATTGATTTTAATTAAACTCATATAAGTCGTTCATCATAGTGTTCAATTAATTAAAATCAACAATTCTAAGACCCCCCTTTTATTACAAGTTCCATAAAAGAAAAGTATTTATTTCTATATGAATACAAACTCTACTACACTATACTACATATAAGTGTTAAGTATTGAATTAATTTTGAGACACATATGACTTTAGTGTTGTCAATAAAACTCAACTACACAGTTTTTACTTTATTATTTTACGTGTAAGTCAATTTTGGAAAAATTATACTCCCTCCGTCCCCAAAAGAATGTTCTACTTTCCCAAAATGAAAGTGCCTAAATGAATATCCTACTTTTTTAACTTCCTGATTTGGTAAAAAATTCTACATCAAACAGTGCAAAAAAATGTCAAACAGTGTATTATATAGTAAAATTTATATCTTAGTAAATTTATTTCCTTAATATGTGTGAGGTCAAACTAGGACAATCTTTGGGGACGGAGGGGGTAAGTGATAAAGGAGGTGTAATTTAATTAAACCTTCTTAAATGGCAAAGCACATTATTTAAGCAAATGGTTTTATGAAAGAACAAAGCATTGCAATCAATTACTTACAGAGGATATAAAATGGAGATGCAAGGCCTGAAAAACCAAGAATAACCAACACATTATTTCCGACATTTTCAATCATGAAAACAAATCACAGGATTCACAGACGAAAAAGGTGTGTTATTAGTAATTTTGTTCTCTACATACAACACAAAAATTAAACCATATTAATTAAGAAAACATATTTCGTATTACTTATTAGATGCCCACCACCAATTCAAAGTAATTAACTAACTTTATAGAATGAAGAACAGACAATCATCTATATACAAACTTGGATATGAGGACTAATCCAAGCCATTATATGGTACACCATATATGTGATGCTTAAATAAGAGATATTCAGCTAACCTGCATAAGCCTAAACACCTATGACACTAAGTTCAAAATTAGTATGCTTCAATGAGCTATCACTTTTTGTGAGCCATCCAATTCCCAATTAGATTAAATCTCATGAAGTCTTAAGAGTCATCTAGTAGTGAAAACAAAGAATTGAAGAAGAGACATTACAATAAGTAAATTAAAAATGTGTGCAATTGTTTAGATAGAGGGTGGAGTCATCATACAAAGCAATAACAGGAGTGTTTTTGGCAATCACAAGAATGGCTTGAACAAGGGAAGATAAGTTGTCGTTGTCCGATCGCCGCCGCCCCATCCCGATTGATCTTTAATTTGGAGTTTATATATCCTATCAGATGTGTACTAACAGCTTGGCAATTAGCTTTGTTGAACCACAGAGAAATGCTTTAACCCTCGAAAACTACTTGGAGCATATAATGAAGTGAAAATAGTAAAGTTTGAACATGTGGGAAGAAAGTCAAAAAGCTCGTGAGAATGCATCAATGCATGAATGAATCACGGAGCATGAGAATTTGACCTTCATTCGCGGTACTCACAACCGCACATATTTGGGAATACTCCTTCAATTCTTACAAAATTGTCCATTCAAATCTAATACAAATTTTAATGTGGTTATATTACATGATGCATTTATCTCGAATGTTTTAAAAAGTTAAGGCTAAAAAAGTTCAAAGACATTCTAATTACACAAGCACAACCCTAACCAGGTCAGAATGAAGAAGTTTAAAGAAAAATCTTTGTTGCCGGGAATGGTGTAAGATTTAAGAGTTATTTATTTTTGGGGACTGCTTTTGTGTTTTATGGATGATTTTTCTGTGTTTGGGGATTCTTTTGACAAGTGCTTAGAATTTGAAGAAAGACATAGTTATGTGTAAAGAGGTGAATTTGGTGCTTAACTAGGAGAAGTGGCATTTCATGGTTCAAAATGGAGTGATCCTAGGACATAAGATTTCTAGTAGGGGTGGGATTGAAGTAAATCCCGACTAAGGTATATGTGATTTCAAAACTGTCTGCTCCTATCTCGGTCCGTGTTATTAGAATTTTTTAGGCCATGCAGAATTTTACCGTAGGTTCATCCAGGAGTTTTCTAAGATACACAGGCATGTGACTAAGCTCCTCGAAAAGGGTACACCGTTTGATTTCTCGAAGGAGTGTTTATAGGCTTTTGAGTGTGAAGGAGAAACTTATCATGGCACAATGGTAGTAGCTCCCGACTGGTCACTACCTTTTGACATTATGTGTGATGATAGTGACCACGCCGTTTGAGCTGTTCTTGGGCAGCATTTAGGCATGGACCAAACCGGGTCCGGGCTGGGCCTAGGCCTGGTCGGGCCTTTTGTGTTAAGGGGAAGGCCCGGGACCGGACCGGGTTGGCACCAGGTCCGGTTCGGGCGGGGCCGGGCCTCGGGCTTGGTTGTATTTTTTTTCTTTACTAAGTACCCCCCTGATCCCCCACCCACCCACCCAAACCCCCCAAAACATCAAGCCCAACCCGGGAAGCCCAATAAAACCGAAAAAAACAAAAAATAAAAACGTTTTTTGGCCCGAACCAGGCCCGGCCCGGCCGGGTCCCCATTTCAACAGCCTAAGCCCGCCCCGCTTTGTCCTTTCAAACCGGGCCAAGGACCGGTTTCGGACCCGGGGCACCGAGACGGGCCGGTCCTGCACAGTAGCGGGCTGTGCCGATTCCCGGGCCGGGTGGCCCGAACCGGGTCCATGCCTAGCAGCATTAAGAGAAACTTTTTCATCCTATTTCTTAGGTAAGACTCTCGATACTCGATAGTGCCTATAAAAACGTCACTACCATTGAGAAAGATGTGTTTGCTCTTGGCAAGCTTCGTCCTTATATGATTTTGTCTAAAGTAGTTATATTCACCGGTCATTCTGCTCTCAAATATTTATTGCAAAAATCTGATGTGAAAACTAGATTGATTAAGTGGATATTACTACTTCAAGAGTTCGATATTGAGATTAAAAACAAGAAAGGGGCAAAGAATTTGGTTGTTGATCATTTAAGTAGGTTAAAGAACTGATGTGTGTTTTCTCGCACTTAAAATGTAGTAATATAGTGGTTGAAATACGAGTATGGTCTCCACATTAATGGACAAAAGGGGAATAAAAATTAACTAAATTCAACGATGAAAAAAATAAAATAAAAGCAATGTGACTTGAGTTAATTGAGCACCGCGACTCATTCCTAACTATCCCTCGATTTTCATGTAGCATTAATTTTGGTTATCGAGATCGATGTCAAGCTTTAAGTGTGGGGGTGCATTGGACTTTCAGGCAGTAAATAAAGTACAAAATTCATTAATTTGAAATTTGGGGATCTTTCGATTGGAACGGCGTTCTCGTGCGGACCTCCATAAAAAAAATTTGTCGCTTAAATCTTTGGTCGTCCGCACGGCGAGCAGACCTCCGAACCGTGCGGACCTTCCTGCAGCCATGTTCTGAACCGCATGACCGCGAACACACATGCACGTCGTGCGGGTCAGAAAATCCAATTGCGACCTCTTTGATTCATCTGCACGGCATGCGGCTAACGTGCTACCGTTTTCTTGCTTTTTTTCGATCCAGAATCCAGATTGATCCCGACTTCATTCTTTGACCTCTTTTATCTCTAAAATCTCTCTTTGATCGCCCCGTGAATCTCCAATGCCTCTTGTCAACTCTCGAACGCGTCCCAAATCTTTCCAAATTGTTTTTTAATGCCGATGTCAGGCTCAAATTCTTGACTTTTAATTCTAAAAATAGAAAACACAAACCTGGTAAACTGTGACTTAAGATAATTAGACGTTTTATGACACATTTTAGTTAGAATAAATGACAAAAAACGATCCCCAACATGCATTAAATGTGTATTGAAATACGGATTTATCAACTTACAAAAGCCCTCTTGGAATTAAGTATCATTCGATAATAGTTTTTGTATGAACATCTGCGTACAAAGGAGGATTAAGTTGAATCTCCCACAAATACATTATTTGTATTGAAAGACTGCTAATGAACTCATGATCCGATGTGCTGTATGCTATAGAAAACAGACTTTTACGCTTCCCCTTTTCATGCCTTATTTTAGAAAGCTGTACAAAATAGAAATGCTATTCAGAAGGGAAGAAATGAAAAGGAGTACTTACATTCTTAGACTTTTTGTTTTTCCTTACCATAGATAGAAGCTATAGCTCATTGCCAATGACTAAGACAGTTTTAAGACTCAATCAGAATAGCGCTCTGTATATCAGCAAAAGACTTGACATCTCTGCCCCATAACCTGTTTCAGTAGGATCTCAGTCAACCACTTTCATTACATCTACATGTCATGATGATCTCACAAACTGTGTTTGGTTCTTATTATGAGATTTCCGGTTTCAGATTCTCCGGAATCTCAAATTACTGAATTTTGTACTTCATTTACAGTTTAATGAGAACATAGGCCAGGAGCAACTCTGTACTTCCGCATATATTGTAGAAAGGCAATACCCTACCAGCATTCAATTCCAGCAGCATTAGCACCTTCCTTATCAGCCTTGGCATCATCTCCAACATGAACTGCCTTGGTCGTTTCAACACATATCTGATCTACACAATGATGTAAAAACGTTTCACGTTAAAAGGGCCCTGAAGGTTCCAATAAATATTTACTAGTTTACTACTATGTTCATATGTTGTAAGCAAAGGAAGGAAAATGGCAAGGCTTTGGGAACCTACCGAGTGCAGCTTGAAATATCTTAGCATCTGGTTTTTCATATCCGACCTCAGCAGATACTATAACAGCATCAAACCTATATAAAATACATGGCTTATTGAAAATTTGGTTTGAAATTAGTCCTGCTGTTTGCCTGTTTCAGGCAGGAAAATTGGAAAGAGGGTGTTTGGAAAATGTTATAAAAGTTATTCTGGGTACAGACCAATCATTATATTAAAGCGTACTTTTTCAGAAGCAGCTGACCTCTTGATTCTTGAACTGATTCTCCTCATCATCATCATCATCATTATGGAGTATATTAAAGCGTACTTTTTCATTTTCATTTTCTTGAACTGATTCTGATTATCGTTTTTTTTAAAATTGCTTCATAATCACATCAGAACAGTTACAGCCATTCCACCAAAGAAACATTACAATATGACTTTCTTTTGCGGGAAAAATAATAAAAATACCCCAAACTTTGAAGGGGTGTGAGGTAAACATCCCAAACTTGCATATGTAATTTAAATACCCCAAACTTTATATAAAAAGTTATTTTCGGACCAGTCATGTATTATTTCTTTCGAAAATGTAAACTTATGGGGTTAATTGCACTATTTAAAATAGCAAATTGAAAGTGTTGTGATTATATAGATTGGGTAATGTTATTTGTTTCGCAATGGAAGTTTAGAATGTTAATTGTGTCTTCATGAATTCTAAAATATTTTAAATTATGCAATTAACACCATAAATTTATATTTTTAAAAGAAATAATACTTGTCTATGGTGCTAAAATAACTTTTTATATAAAGTTTGGGGTATTTAAATTACATATGCAAGTTTGGGGTGTTCATCTCACACCCCTTCAAAGTTTGGGGTATTTTAATTATTTTTCCCTTCTTTTGCATACAAACATAATTAATGTAAAAAACTTTAATTGATCAACTTTGTTCGGATTTTTTGGCCAAACGCCATTTAAGGCTAGTTTCATTCTGGTATATCAAAGACTCAAATACTATAGAGATTTCTCCCCTCCAAAAAATAGAGTAGTGAGAGAAAATAATTTCAAAAGGAGATGCTTACAGATGTACCACGTTGAGGTCTTTCAATAGCTTCCTCAAACGGGTGTCAAAATTCGAAACAACTGCCAGTTTGACTGTACCAATATTTGCATAGTTAAGAAGTCAATGTAAAACATATGAAGCTTCAAGACATAATTATAGAGACACTTGAAACCTCCACAATCTTTCAGGTTTGATAGAGTATCAGAGGCTCTGTCCGGAAGACGCCAAGCATCACCATTTGCATAGTGCTGATATAAGGAAAAATATTAATGATACAATTTTGGAACTCCAAAAACATATTCTATAATAACGAGTTTCATGTGTTACATTCAAAAACCATGCTCTTACTGTGTGTTGATTACCAAAAAAGATAAATATTGCAAGAAATTAAATAAATAAAATAGTGTGGATGCAATAAGTACCTGGTAAACTTCTTCAAAATAAGCATTATCATTACAACCAGTTGCTTCAGAAACTATGAACTTCCAAAATGGTCTTCCATCTCCCTGCCAATAGTGAGCGTTTACTGGTCAATTTCAAACGATAACAAAACAAGAAATGCAGTTGTTTCATTGAAAAGATAAACTTTTACTCAGAAAAAAAAAATGCATCTTATATTTGGAAGAAAAAAGTACAGTTAAAACACTACTTTCTCGAAATGAATAAAAACAACTTTCCATCCATTCCATCGAAATCACCATTTCCAAAACATACCCTTTGAAAAATGTTAAGTTTTATGACATGATCAAACCTGATACCGTAGCTCCTCAGCCCATGAGGCAGAAAAAGCTCTTTTGAAACCTTTCTTTATCACAGCGGATGGGGTGGAAAGACCTGTTATATTTATTTGACATTTTGACATGGTGTGCAAGTTACATGAGAAATCCTAAACCAAAAGAAAAACACATATAAATATATATGCTCCCAATATGTTGACCATTACAATGATATTAGAGCCTCTCAAACAAATGTTAGTTGTCCACATGACCAATATACGAGGACAGGATTCGCAGTTTTAAATAAAACTTAGGCTGTAAATGTAACTAAAGCAACATTAGACCATGTCCAAACTTCAAAGTACATTATCCCTCATTAATAACTAAGACTCCTGCAGAATCACAAGATAATTTTAAAATCTTTTTCATTGAAAGCAGAAGTAAATGCACAGTTTTCCATTCTTTTCCCCATTCGAAGAAAATAATTATCACCTATAACATAATTCTTGAAGAGTAAAAAGATGAACCAAACCATAGTTTTTTCCAATAGCTGCATAGGTCTCTTCAACAGGCTTAGCCAATTGCAAGAGTGTACCAGCAGCATCCAACAATAATCCATCAAATTGTCTCTTCACCCCTGTTCTTTCACCTGTTAATGACAGATTAAAGACCCTAAAAATGTATAATTGCATAAATAATCAATGAAAAGGGGGGAAAGCCCAGAATTGGTGCTAAATGCTCGAGCTTGAATAAGTCAGAGTCATAGAGATGATTTCAATCAAGATGACATGATCACCATTACCTTAATTTCAACGTTTCCATTTTCACATTTTCGAATGCAGAACTTTGACCATTAGTATATTTCATTCTTCATTAATAAAAAAGTTAAAATATCATATTCTGAAAATTCAAAATTGAAGAATTTAACAATATTTTTCAAAAACTGAATTTCCAATACTTTAAGAAATAAAATGTACTCAAAGTGGAGGATGTGAATAATGTAAAATTCAACATGTTGCATCTACGTAGTATAGATTAAGGAAAATGTTACATTGCCTGATCACACTTCCCTTTGTATCACTTAGCATTAAGCAACCATTTTTTTCAATTGGAAGCTTCCCAGAGAATAATGAACATAAAAAGTTCATTAAAAAACCAGTGTCAGAATTTTACTCTGGAATCTGGGTGCCCTTGTTGTAATAACTTCTTAAGAGAGAACAATGATATGAGATTCTTGTAATTTGTAAAGCTAATTATCTAGCGGTGGAGATGGAATACTAATTAAAGGCGTTTTCAACAAGTACACTGACCCAAAAGCTGTGAAAATGGAAAATAAATATGAGGATTAGCCGCAATAACAAATTTGGATGTGAGATGTAATGCTAACCCGTGTGAACCTTGGTGGCTGAGGAAGAAGAAGAGCACCGGACGCAAAACGATTCAGTGAGATTCGGGTTGAGTTTGAAGGGTTTGATCGCTCTGAAAAGGGAAATAGCTTCCATATCTCTTGACTTTGCCGTCGTCGGAAAAAATCTGTCGGTGGTCTGCTCCGGAATTAACACTCCATAATTTTTCAGTGTGTTGATAAGGGCCGGAAGGGTAAGCTTTAGACATAACTTTATTTTGGAGAGTCAAATGAATGAAGTGTTAGTAATGGAAGTGTTAATAATTTTGCCTTGAAGCAGAACAAAGAAGAGACGAAAAAGGAAGACCATCAGACCCTATTATAGATGTTAAGAGATTGACCTGCAATAATACCTACGGCTTCTCCCAATTCTACCAGATCACCATGAGTAGGACTTCTACCATAACATAATTGACAAATCCAAGATGTACTCCTACAAGTAAAGGGAGTTCTAATCAATATTGATTGGGCTCGAAATTTTATAAATCTATTTAAAAGTCCAACGGCAAAGATATTCGAAATGAGATGTCAAAGCATTATATATTTTTAGAGTAAATGAGAAGGTAATAATTGTCTAACACCTCAAAATACTCCAAATCGGGGTGTTAAAAAAGTAGACAATTTAGGTGTTGGGAAGGTTATTATTAACACTTCCTAACCGTTACTAACATTTCTTAACATCTCTTAATTTTTCTCCCAAACAAGTAGTAGTATCAACACTTACTAACACTCCTCAACCCTTAATCCAAATAGGCCGTTAGGGTGTTTTTACCCGACCGGACAGAAGTCTAGAGTTAGATCAAACATTTACCAGATTAATTCAAACCAAATCAAATCACGTCACATCAAACTAGAACAACAATTTCAATCTAAGTAAAAGATATCCAAATTTAGGTTTAATATATCAAACCCTCTTGTGGTAAATAAATTCAAAATAATTTTGTTCACCCCTCAAAATAGGGTGAACATGAATCACCTTGTCACATAGCATAGCAATTCATTTTAATTTGCAAGTATTAATCTATTAGGAAAAAGGGTCAAATACACCCTTTTACAATTCCAGATCGATCACTTTAGCTCATATACTATAAAAAACATCAAATACACCCATTTACTTTCAAAAAACAATCAATTAAGTCAAAAAACCTAAAAGTGACCTTTAATAGCAGATCATCCTTTACCTTTTTTAACTTTCACATTTATTTTTTGTTTTTAATTTTTTATTGCCTTAGCGATCAAAAAAAATTATTGCCTTATTTAATAAGAAAAATACGGGATCACTAGACGCTGCGATCGTCTCTCGCTTCTCTCTAGGGCTTCGGCCGCTTGGAGTTCTTTTCCGTCTTCGATTTTAATCGAAGGACGGCCGTTTTTTTCCATCTTCGATTTTAATCGAAGGATGACCGCTATTTCCGTATTCGATTTTAATCAAAGGGCGGCTGCTGTTGTTTGTGCTTCGTCCTCGAAAGGCGGATTTGCTGTCATGGCTCGAGGTGATCGGCGTTGTGGTCAAGGTTCGAGGATGATGCGTTGTTGTCATCGTTGGAAAAGATCGGTGCCGCCTATCCGTTTACTCTGGTTGCATGGGGCATGGATGAGTTTGGTTATGCAGGGACGGAGGATTGATGCATGGCCTTTGGCAGCCAAAGGTCACGGAGTATCAATTAGCATGGTACCGGTGGTAAGACCTCCTCCTGAACCACCACCATGGGATGTACGAGGTGCTAGAGTTCGTGAACGCTTTTCTTGTAGTTTTTATCTGTTTGTTATTTGTTTTCTTGTGTCCACTTTTGTTGTTGGTTTTGACAGTTTCTTTGAGTTTTTTGCCTATCTTTATGTCATTGGGTATGGTTGGATCTATGGGAATAGGTTTGGCTGTGTCAAGCCCACTACATGGTTAGTGATTCGTGTTGCTCTCTCAGGGGTGACCGTCTCAAAGTCTCACCATAGGGTTACAGTCGTAGTTGTTGAAGTTTCAGTTGGTGTCAGTTTTATTTTCCTTTTGCTTGATGTAATGATCTTGAATCTTTTGATATGAATAGAGGCTTGTTTGATGTTCAAAAAAAATAAGCAAAAAACGGAGTACCAAGTTTTCTACCCAGGTTTTTCATACGTAGTAAAAAAATTGAAGTCAAGGGGATTCGAATCCTGGATGAGGTTTTTGGACGTGTTTTTTATACTTTAAAGGCTTACACTGTTGAGAAATCATCATGTCAAATTTCTTTTGCCGTCCCGCCGAGCCCTTTTGGCGACCTTCCCGGTGAAATTTTTTTATGAAATTTTTTGAGCATGTTCCTCATTAAGTCTAGTTTGTCCATACCAAATTTCAGCTCAAAATTCGATCGGGAAGGCATTCAAATCTTTTTTTGAAGTTGACTGCGTTTTTATATGTATATTTTGATGGATGGACGTAGTTGCCGGTCATCACGGTGGAATCGTGATTAGGGATGGATTTAAGGGGGCGTGGAGGGCGACCGCCCCTGATAGGGTGAATTTCCTATTATGTATGTTTGTATTTTTAACTACTTTTAATTGTTCTAGTTGTAGAAATTACACACTTTTGGTGTAATACTTTATTTTCATTAATTATTTGTAATTTATTTAGATTAGGATTATATTGAGCTTAGGACAGGTCAAAATAATCCCAAGAATCAAAGGATGGATCCTAAAGACCAAAGAATGTGCAAAAAGGAGAAGATCAAATGAAGATTTTGAAATTTGTTCAATACTCGGTCGAGTATTGCCAATACTCGGTCGAGTATTGGCCTGATACGCTGGTCAAAATCAAATCTGGGAGCAAAAGAATGTGGCTGAATATTTGATGAAAATCCTGTCGCATACTCGGTCGAGTATTGGCAATACTGGATCGAGTACCGAACCCTGCCACCTCTATTTTGCTATAAATACACCATTTTTCCTTCACATTAAGGAAACAAATTCATATACACTTCTAAGCTCAGTTTAGTTAAACACATTCTTTATATTTTTATCATGTTTAGTCTCCAAATGAGGAGCTAAACTCTTCCATCTTGGTTTTGCTACTTTGAAGCTTAATGAATTTGTAAGTTGTGAGTTATTCTCTTTAATTTTCTTCCTTGAATATTAATTCTTCCTTTAAATACTATTTCTATATCAATGTTGGGGAGTGTTACTAAGATGACAATTAGTTAACATCTTGACATTAGTTATAGTAATAGTTATTTCTTCCTCTATGTTAATATTGGGGGGTGTTACTAAGATGACAATTAGTTAACATCTTGATATTAACTATAGTAGGATTCATCTTCTTTAATACTCTTCCTTGAGTATTAATTAATTCTTATTCATATTTCATATTAATATTTTGAACATTACTTAAAGGATGAACTAGTTTTGTTTCATATATTAATTATTACTAGAATCGATCGACGAATACGCTTGTTAATCGTTCGATCGTTTCACGGTAGTAAACTTGGGTTATTAATGCATGTGTTCTAAGTAGCACGGAAACGGGAAACGGGAAACACGAGAAACGCAATTTCTAAAAAATATAGGACACGAAACGTGGGGGAAACACGTAAATATTATAAAATATAAGGATATATTTATAAATATTTTTTAATAGATGTACATAAGTTTTTCCATATGCACATGTTTTTTAATATAATTTGTTTAGTAACCAAATAATAAAATCACTCTACATGTTCGAATTTAGATATTATTTCATATTAGTACATCATTAAACATAAAATGTACGGAGTAATACATTTCTAGCAATAAATTGATTTACGAAATGTAACAAGTGTTGCCGCTGAGAAATACCACAAAAATTCACTATAAAAAAATTATTTTGCACCACCGAATCTTTTGAAAAAAAAAAAAATTGGAATCCGAGGTTTCCGAAACGTAGTGAAACAGGTTTTCAAATTTTTATTAATTATGGAAACGGCCCCGAAACGGGAATTTGAAGTTTCCAAGTTTCCGAAACGCTTCCGAGTTTCCGAAACGTGGAAACGTGAGCCATGGAGAGTTTCCGTGCTTCCTAGCATGTGTTTCATGGTTAATAAACCAAGGTGAATTAATTATGTTGATTAAACCAATAAACCGCTTGTGTTGACGTTATTAATCTCAATTGTTTTCATCTTGATTTTATTGCTACTATCGTGTTAATATACGGTGCGTGTTCTATATTAACTCAGTAGTAAGTTTTATTAATGAACGCGTCTCGTTATTAATAACTACCCTCGATGAATTGGATATACTCCTCGATTGAGTATTCGAGAGGAAGATGGTTAAAGATATAACCGGGATCGACGAACATTTCATTAAGTGGATAAATGCAAAGCAAGTCTTCATCTGTATTAATTAAACTCATATAAGTCGTTCATCTTCGTATTTAAGTAATCAAATAAAATCAAACTTTAAATCCCCCCTTTGTTACTAGTTCTATAAAAAGAAAATTATTCCTTTCCATGTGGATACGAACCTTACTACACTATACTACGTATTAGTGTTGTATTGATTATTATTTTGAGTGCACACACGACAAAGTGCACGTCAAATTTGGCGCCGTTGCCGGGGAAATGCAATTATTTTTCTTTTTATTTATTTCAAGAAAAAAAATTAAATAAAATAAAAAAAGTTCACTTTTCTTTTCTGAGCTTACATGAGTATATGGATACCAACATATCTTCGCTAGAGAGTCAAATTTCCGTCTTGACTTCTCTAATAAAGGAGTATATTTTATGTCCAGACATGCAACATTTGCATGTCTCACAGGCATCTTGCGGATTTTTGCCCAAAGTTCCAAGAAGAATACCTGGAACAAATCAATGATGTTGGTTTTCAAAGCGAAATACCTCACATGAGGTATGATCCATTCTCCAACATTTCTACGAAGGACATGATCCGAGCTCTCACAATCAACGTGACAAGTATGCAACAAAATATGGCATCATTCCCACAAGAAACAAGGTCCATCGAATTGAACTTGAAAAATCAAGTGAATGAAATGCAAAGTGTTGTGGATCAATCGGAAGCAAAATATTTTGAGGAACTTCCCTCTCAAATAGAACAGGGTCCTAAAGAGCAAGTTGTTGCAGTCACATTGACAAATGGGAAGAAAATGCAAAGGGAGACCAAAAATCCAGAAGAAGAAGAAGAAGAAAAAGACATGATGCTCCAAATGGTCAAACAAGAGGATGAGTCGAACTTCAAGATCACATTTTATCCTTGTCATTCTTTGAGGTACCCCCACCAGTTTTGGAAGCTTTGGGGAAACTCGTAAAATTGAAAATGACATTGCCATCTTTGAAATCTTCAGCAAAATGGAGGGATCGAAACACCGTCCACTGACCATGCTAAACTATAATTTCTTTCCCTCCCTCTCACCACATGAATCAATGGAAATCTGAATATTTGATCCTGAGCTGGAA